GGGTGAAGACTGGAGAACATCTGTGCAAATAATCATTGCTAAATTAAGTTTGATGTCTTGCTGCATATGGAGATAAGGAATAATGAGATTTTGGTTCCAAATTTCAAAAACTCAAATCTTGAAGAGATGAGACAAGAATTATCCGCTGTGAATTGGGCAACTGAATTAAAAAAAAACCTGGTTTTCTTTCAAACAATATAAAGGATAAGATTAAATAAAAGCATTATAAATTTAAATTGACTGCTGTGATCTGGGACTTGGAGTTTAAAACAAGAAATTGGGAAATAAAAAAGTATCAGTTTTTCTCAACTGGGGTACTGCAGACTTCCTTCAGGAAAGTTGAAATTTTTTAGTAAAATACTGTAAAAAAATGCTACATCACATATTTGAAAGGTTTTTATGTGTACTCTATCTAACTTTGTTCTTTCCTACATCATTTCATTCAGGACCTATTGAGGGAGGTACCTCTGTGACCCCATCCCAGCTACATCACTGTTAACTAGGCTATAAAACATCAGGGTGAGCCATGAAAATTGTAGGCTACATGTAGGGGTGTTTTAAGCAAAAAAAAAAAAAAAAGGTTGAGAAACACTGAACTATATGAAAAAAGGCTGGCTAAAAATGTCAAAATTAATATAAAGGCTTTCTTTCAATATGTTAAGTGTACACAAAATGTTAGGATGGGAGTAGGGGTCCTTGAGGGGATGACACAGGAATGCTAATATATGATGATCATGGGATGACTGGGTTATGAAATTCTGCTTTTTAATTTTTTACTAATTAAGATTTAAGCAATAATCCTCATCCTGAACAGTTACTAGACAGAAATAACATCAAACAAGATAACCATGTTAATTCTGAATTAAAAAAAAAACTGGCAGTTTGAAGAATGTTGAGGCTCAAAAAAAAATTGTGGCAGGGATTTAGTTTTTAAAGGAATAAAAGAAAACTTTTCTAAACTGGGGTGTTCAGGGATATTGATATCCCCCTTCGCCCCACTCGCAAAAAAAGAAATTTTTGCTAAGTTCTCAGGGTTAAAAAATTTCAGAGTCAGATTATATCTACTAATTTGGCAGGTAGGAAAATTTGAGAAATGTCTGGAAGTCCAGGAGGCAGAGAGAAGACCAAGGCCAATGACAACATTGAAGAGAAGAAGTAAGGCAACAACACTAGGCAAAGCATATCACAATAAACACCCCATAAATAGGGTCACCTAGTGGCTGGGATCTATAAATCCAATGTTAAATACAGTTTGACTGAACTCCATTTATAGCAACCCTTTGCATTTTTTTCATCCAGCCAGTTTTCTATCCAATGAGCTAAGCTATCCTCCATACGTACACTTTTTAACAAGCCTTTTATGTGGCACCTTTTATCTGAAAATCCAGATACACCAAATCCACATGTACCTTCATCTACATAACATTTTCAAAGATTGTCAAAAGATTAATATAGCAAAATTTTCACCTGCTGACTATCCAACTTTTAAACTTGGTTAAATGACTGCAAAGCATTTTTTTATCCCACCACTGATGTAAGACTAATATGCCTGTAGTTACTAGGACAATTTTTTATCACCTCTCTTGAAAAGGGGGAGTAGCATTAGCCAACTTCCAATATTCTCGCACCTACTCACTGTTCAAGGACTTAAAAAAAAATAGTAGCCATTGGTCACATATCCAATCCTTAACCTTTTTCAAAAACCTTGAATAACTGGTATCTGACTCAAAAGCCTCATCATGAGTCACAAATAGGACTCAGTGTTAAGACCTTTGGTCGTTTTTAACTTACATCAGTGACATAGATGAAAAAATGGTCAAGAGATTATTTAAACTTGCAGATGATATTAAGGTTTTGGGTGTTGGTGACTGAGGAAAATGCTACTACTTCACAAAAAGATTTGGAATATTTGGTAAGTTAAGCAAATAAATGACAGATGGCACTTAATTATGATATATGCAAGGTAATTCATGTTGGATATCATAATTTCAATTATAAGTATAATTTTAATGGAAATAGCCTTAAGTGTTATGGATGACAAGGATCTTAGTGTTCTGATTGATCAGTCTCTTAAGCCATCCAAGCAATGTACTGTTGCTAGTGGCAGGGTAAATAGGATTTCAAGTTGTATCTATATAAATATTAAATACAAATCTAAAGAGGTTATAATGTTATTGCATAAGTCATTGGTTAGGCCACATTTGGAGTACTGTGTTCAATCTGGGGCTCCTTACCTTAGAAAGGAGATTGAACTGTTGGAAACAGTTCAAAGGAGGACTACTAAAAGGATACATGAGATTGAAGGGTTGTCATAAGAGGACAGGTTAAGATTTCCGAAATTATTTTATCTTGTAAAAAGAAGAATTAGAGGAGACTTGAGGTGTTCAAGATTGTTAAGGGAATCGAGAGTGTTGACGCATCATCTTTTTAACTGATAAATTTTGCCAGAATAAGAATCATCTTCAGCTAAAACAGCTTTATCACTTGAAATGGGTTGCCCTTCAGATATAATAGATGCAGTTAAGGGATTTTAAGGGGAGGTTTTATAAACAATTGAATGACAAGGGGTTTAAGATTCAAATTTTAAAATTAACTCTCTCCTACCTACACAAAATGTTTAACAGTTATAAAAAAAAAAACTTTCAATATTTACCAGAAAAACAAGCAAGGTGATCCATCTTGTGATCTAATCTTTCATATCTCAAGTCAGCAAAATATTTCAAGTTACTCTTAGAGGATTGAAGCAACTTCTTTTCAGCTCCCTATAAATACATTACCATAAAATGCTGATGCATATTATAAAACAAATAAGTTAATATTTATAAACTTATGTAGGTGTTTGTGAATCTTTATCTCCACGGTGTTTATTGTAATAATAAATATCATAAAAGATGAAGAAAAAAAACTACCAAAATAATTTTTATATCACACTTATGCATGTGTCTAACTACACTGATCTCTGGTGAGCTTATAAGTTTAACACTTATGAAATTATATGAAATAAAATTTAAAATATATGTTAAAGAGTCTTAATAACAGGTAACAAGATATGCTATTTCAATAAAAACTCAAATATACATAGTGATAGAAAAAAACAAGGAGAAAATGTAATTAAACAATCTGAGTCCAAAAAAATTCAGTCAGTGAACTTTATACTTCTATAATCACTTAATAATTATCTATGAGATTAACTTACTTCGAAATGACAAACAAGCTATTACCATATCCATGTTTCTCTCTCTATCTCACACACACACCATTCTGTATTAGTCAGTTAAGTGGAGTTAACCCTAATGCTACAGGTTTTAATATGGCCAGGGGTCAAAGAGCATGTCATCATGTTAGTAGAGTTGCATTCAAAATTTTATTGAACTACTATATTATGAATGTATGTTACTACATTTGGTATCAAATTGTAGATTATAATTCAAATTTTAGTATTTTATATTAGTTAATTTCTTAATTTAAAAGTAAATACATAAAAAAAGTCCCAAATATCGATTTTTGTGTGTCACATGGTATGTTGAATGCAGCTTTGGTCCAAATTAGATGTTTGTGACGTCTAAATACAGATACTCAAATTACCGATAATGACAAGCTGGAATATAAGATAAGAATCTCCTATCTTTTCTGCTTTCTGAGATATTTTTATATTTAGTGAATAAACCACTTTTGAAAATACTTGTCTAGGTACACCCACTTCACTCTATCATGTATTTATAACCAATCAAAAGTTCAGAATTACCCCCCCCCCAATATGGTTTCCACAGCCTATTCAAGTTATCTATTTCCCAAGATTAGTCTTTTTGTTTCCGATCTCAGAAGGATGCGTTAAGAGAAAATAGTGTTTGAAAAACCCAAATACACCTTAAGCTTGATAAATTACAGTAGAATTCCACGATATTGGTAGAATAATTAATATTTTATTTGTTATTTCATAATGCATATACAAAACCTAAATAAGTTATTTTCTTTTACATCCTTCATGTGCAAAATTCAGCAAGGCTTAAGCATTCAAAGTGCAGCAAGCAAGTACAAACTCCTTTACAGTC